TTTTGAAAAATTTAATTCAATGGATTGCAGGTTTCTCTTCGCGAGGCTTCTTTGTGACGGAAAGGTTGTTTTAATTGCTTCTTGCGATTGAAGCTTATTTTTATGGTGAATTTGAGGATTAACTTCTCATTACACTCATTGTGATTCAGTGTGAGACTTCATGAAGTATATGGTGTTTTTTTTAATTATGCTTTCAAACTCGGAAATTAGTATAGAAACAGATTACGAGATTCCACATATGGAATAATTTTTTTTTCCCCAAAAAACATCCTTATATATATGACCGCAACATATGGTAGAGTTTTAAAATATAAAGGTTCCCCTGAATCTAAAGAAAAAAAAATAAAGGTTTCCGTAAATTATACATTTGGGAGATTTTTAAACACTAAAACATTCCTATATACCATTTTCTTTGTATTCTCTGGCTCTTTAATGTGTGGGAACATATTTATTTTGACAAACACTCCCCCAGCGAATTTTTTTTATAAAAAAGATGAATTTATGGAATCGTTTCTTAAGGAAAAAAACTCCTAAAGTAGCTTTATATTTTTTATTTTTAAAAATCAAGAGTATTCAGAAGTGAAAGGCGTTAACTTAATTCACTCATACATAGAACGGGGGTTTATGTGGAAAAACAAATGAGGGCTAATCAAAGAAGGATTTTGGTGAGAAACAATCATGAAAAGTTAGTGTAGCAACTCGCAACCCACTTAGAAACCAATTCCAACCTCTTTGCACATTAAATTAAAGCATTATTAATCATGTTAAGCCAATGTAAATTTCATCAAATACAAGTTGCATGAACAATTATCCAAAAAAACACATCATAATCCATTGAACAAATAATCTTGAATCCAAGCAAGTCTCATGATCGTGCCTCCGAAACTGCGTACAATCACAAATTGTTGGTACAAGGGAGGTTCATCACTGGCTGAACTTGAATTTGGGACAGATTATCATCGCGGACAGCTTTGCTTGGAAGCTATGGTTTAGTGTGGCTTGCGAGAAATGATCATTCATAAGTTATTCAATAAACAGAGCCCAAATACAAGGCCTTCATGCAGAGATCAGTTTCGAGCATGTTTGAGTTAGTCCACTTCTAAATTTGCTAAGTCCAGGGCACCACAACAATGCAGACTTTCATGTCGTTAATTAAATATACGTAACTTTAATTTGTTTCTGAATCAAATGAAGATTGAACCAAAAGATGGGAGCTGGTGAGTCCTAAGTACTCTTCCAATTAACATAACTATTAGTGCTTGTAGTTTTATTGTCTTTTGTTATTAATCTCTCTAAGTACTTCTTTTTATTTTTATAGTCCCTCTAGTTTTTTTTTTTTTTTTCCTATAACATTAGTCCTTTTATTTTTAAATATTTTTAGAGGGATAATGATGTAGCACTAATGGTGTCAAATCATTTGACATGTAACTAATGGTGTAAAATATTGCGCTGAATCAATGTTAAGATGAGGATCCAGATGAGCTATAATAATCTAATCAGCAAATGAAAAAAGAGAGGACATAGACTTAAACAACAACAGCACCATGTACAAATTAAAACACATAGGCTATTTATTTAACCTGGTTAAAAAAAAATTGATTAGAACATTTGTTGCATAAAGGTGAAAGATTTAACTCACAATGACTGGAAATCACCTTCCAACACTGACAAATGCTGTCACTAGAACGATTTGTTGACTCATTCTAATTTAAAAGTGTCAGCACCTCCATTGACACTATCAATTCTATAATAGATGATTTAACATACTAATTAGTGCCATCATCAAGGGTGGAGGGAAGGGAGATTAGCAAAGGTCACGGCCCCCATGTTTTTAAATTGTTTTTAGTATTATATAGATGTTACATGTACTTTCAATCTCCCAAAATTTATAAAAGCTTTGTAATATGTGTTTTTAATCTCAACACCCCATATTATTAAATCCTGACTTCACTTCATTATCTCTCTAGAAATATTTAATATAGGAACTAACATTACATACATCATGAGCTTCAATAAAACTACAAGCATCAATAAATATAATTTTTTCAAAATAAAATAAGCTTCACGAATACTCGGTCAAATTAAACAAGTTTGATTTACTAAAAAAAAAACTATTTGGCACCAATTTTCTAAGCTAGATTTGTATGTTGCCTGAATCCACATTCAAAGTAGGGGACTAAGCACATCTAAATTTTTTATAACCACAAAAAAGTAAGAGATTTTATTCCAAGCCTTTTGGTCTTTTTCTCACACGTTACAGGTCCAATAAAAATCTTATCTTAGTTTTCTAAAAGATAAAACTTGTAGCAGTTCGATAAAATTTACTTTTAAATTTATTAGATATGATCACAGATAACTCCTTTAATACAATGATATAAATAATCATGATTAAAAAAATGAAGGGAAGGATGATTAAAAAAGAAATTGAAGAGACCACTTCCTTCTTTTTTTTTTTTTTTTGGAGTCTCGTCCATTAGTCCATTCCTCTGTCTTTTTTTTTTTTTTTGGTACAATTCTATTTCTCTGATTTTAGATACCGTAGAAATTTGAAATAGGAGAGAGAACAAAATTTCTTCCATCTATCAAGTAGGGGAAACACCCGAACAAGATTCATTTTTCTCAAGCCATTTTTTGTTCTCATACTTTCATGCACAATTTTTCTGATTTATATTGACAGATATCATTTTATTTTATCATGCATTTCTTTTTCTTTCGGGTGAAAATTGAAAATTGTCCAATTTTAATGCTATCCCTTTCTTTTCTTTTCTTTTTTTCCAAAAATATTAGCCATTTTTTGTTTATATATGAATAAATAAAATGAGAAAACATAATTAGCTGGTAAAAAATAAATAAAAAGTAAGTCACCTTTTCTTTCTACGTTTATATTGAAAAAGCGCTGCCTTCCGATCGCAAAATTACTTCAAATGAATAATACCGCAGCTAATAAAATATATAATTATAAATAAATAAGTCTTGGAAATTGAAACACAGCAACGCGGTTTGAACGCGTGAAGAGTATACATGAGCTGACTCCAAATGCTTCATTTCTCAAATCTATAAATTTGTAGTACCTAACTGGGTTTTATCTTCTGAATCAAGAGGCACATCAAATAAATTCTCTCCACTATTTCATTCATCAGGTTCCTATTTTCTTCCTTCTAATTATTTTATGTCCATTTTCTATCTGTAAAATTTTCATTTGAAATATCGAAAGAAAGGAGAGACTGTACATATATATATATATATATATATATTTATACGCAATTTCTGCCACTTCACTTTGATATCTGCCTGAAGAGTGAATCTTGCCTCTTTAAGTTTCTATTATTCAGTGAAATGGATTTAGTTCTTCAAGCATTAATTTTGTGATTATGCTTTCTTTGAATCCTCCAAGAGCATAAGTTTCGTATAAAACCTTTGCTTTGAAATATTAATCGACGATAAGGAATATAGATATACCACTTCATTCGGTTATGCTTGCTAATTCTTTTAGATCCCTCTTTACTATCATTAAAAATTTGCTTTGTGATCATGAATTTGAATGTGATTTAAGTTCATATTCTATCTACATGTTAGTGCTTATCATGGCGATGAGATCAAGGCCATCTATATTTTAATTTGATGGTCTAAATTTAAAATTTTTATTTTATATTTATAAAAATAAAAATTACAAAGATTTTAATAAATCTATTAATCTGATAGTACATATTTAATTTTGATGATCCAATTTATATTAAAAGTTATTATTATTTTTTTTCAAAAATTGACTATTTATCTGTATTTTGGACCTTCTAGATTTAATATTAATTTTTTGAATTTTTATAAATGTTTAATTTGGTTAATATAATATTAAAAATAATGATAATCTCTAAATGGTTACTTTAAAAAATATTTTTAAGAAAAAATTTCATGTTAAAAATTTTAAATCTAGACCATCTATTCAAAAGATATCTAGATAATTAATTTATAAAAATTCCAAAACTTGAGCTATTAATAAATTGGACCATTCAAACTAAATTTGTATTGTCTAGGTAGGTGACAAAGTACATTTGTTACTCACCTTGGTGTGCATCATGTTAGATTTCTTATATTAAGTGTGTTTAAGGATAATATGCTCCATCAAAATAGTTTAAGCTATTTGGTTGGATACTTCATAAACTTATATATTTATTATCTATCTTCTAATCTTTATACATGATATTTCTTTTATTTTTTAATATTCTCTCAACTACTTTTTTATTCTCATTTTTTTTAATTTCTTCTTCTTCTTGCTTAGGCTTGTACTTTTTTTAGTCTCAGAGGCCTCAGGTCTATTCAATTTCTTCTTCTTCTCCTCTCTTTCCTTTTTTTAATCTCTTTTTTTCACCTTTCATTCTTTCATTTTTTTCTTTCTTTACCTCTTTCATTTTTTTTGTTTTCTTTTTGTCCCTAATTGAGGGGCTCATGATACTATATTAGATTTTTTATATTAAGTGTGCTTAAGGATAGTATACTCTACCAAAATAGCTTAAGCCATTTGGTTAGATACTTCCTAAACGTATATATTTATTATCTGTCTTCTAATCTTTAGATGTGAGATTTCTTTTATCTTCTAATACATCGGACACTTATATGTTTTGGTCTGATAAACTAGTCCATCAGCCGAGGGACCAAGTCTGATCTAGATTGCGGTGAACTCTGAACAACGTAGCTTTTGCTTTTGTGATAAATTTGTGTAAAATATGTCATTCTTCACATCCCAATACTCATTTCTTCATTTCTTCCCTATCTACTAGCCTAGACAATATCGCTGTATGAAGTATTGACATGTGTGAAGTAATCTATCTGATAGCCTTGTTTTGAAATACCATCAGAAACAAAAGATCGTTGTACATAAATTACTTCACCATTCTACTTCTGATTGATTGCTACATTATTTGTTAAGTTTCACTCTATTATATACATCCTGATGGTGATGGATGTATTTGTAGTTTGCATGATTCAGCTCTCAAACTGTTGTTATGGCACTTGAAGCTCATGGAGTTGACCACCCTTCAAGCTCTTTTGGTTCGGCTAGGAGATGGAAGTATCATGTCTTCATGAATTTTCGAGGAGAAGACACTTGTAGAAGCTTTAACATCATTTGTATTGTGCTTTACAGCGCAATGAAATCATAGTTTCAAGGATGACGAAGAACTTGAGAGGGGACAAGTTATTAAACCAAGTCTGCTCCGAGCAATTGAAGAATCTCTTTCTGCAATTGTTGTTCTCTCTCCAAATTATGCTTATTCAACTTGGTGCCTGGATGAGCTCTCAAAGATTCTCCATTCTAAGAAAGAGTCAGGTCTTTATGTATTTCCAATATTTTCTGGTGTGGATCCATCTAATGTTGAACATCAGAGAGGAAGTTTTGCAGAAGCATTTAAAAAGCATGAAGAAATATTTACAAGAGATGAAATGAAGGTGCAAAATTGGAGGGATGCTTTAAAAGAAGTTGCTAACTTATCTGGCTGGCACTCTGACAATTGGTAATTTCTTATATTTCCAATAATCATCATGAATAATTTTTAAATAATATTAATGGTGTTGATATTAATTACTTTAAACTATTTAAAAATTGTTGTTAGCTATTATAATATAATTATATATATAGGGACAACATAGATTTTTGTTTCTAGAGTTCTGGTCTTTCCTTAAGATCCTAAAGTTTTTCTATTAATTAAGAAATAAATCCTTAAAGTTATGGTTAACTTTGGTCGGTGTCTTGGGAGATCATATATCACTTGTTTGCCGACGATGTTTGATTTCAGTAGAGATTTTGACCAAAATTCACCATAAATTTATACATTGATTTCTTGATGATAATAGTAATAATAATAATAAAAACTATAGTAACCTTGACCAAAACTCTAGAGATAAAAAAAAAAGGTTTTCCCTTATATAAAATTCAAATACAAAATCTATGAAAAGTTAAATTATCTATGAACCATGATTAAATTGACTCACCTTAAACTCCTTGGCAATCACTATACGTAATCTAGTTTTTAAGGAAATTATGGGGAGGCAATTTAGTAACATTCACCAAACAATTAGAAACCCAAGTTTGAGTGTAGCTTTCATAATTGATAGGTCCTATCATAAAACAAATAAGAGGAAAAATAATTGTAACTTTAAAAATAAGGCTGACAAGAATATAATTTATTCTTTTTCTAACACAAACCTGGCTATTTAATATTGCATTACAATAATTTTAAAAACTATGATAAACGTATGTCAAGGTTAACTTATGTTACATAGTTGAACTAAAATTAATGATACTCGTGTGACCATGTTTTCTTTATGTTATGTTGACCATTTTAATCTATATATAAATTAAAATTCAATTGACTTAATGTTAATGATATTACTTTATATTTCTTTGCAGTCATGAAACAAAACTCATTGAAACCATTATTGAAAAAGTGTGGTCAAAAATATATGATGAACTTCCATTTGACTTTGAGAAATTGGTTGGAATTGAATCAAAAATTGTCAACTTAAACTCACTTATAGTTAATGGATTGGGTGAAGTTCAATTTATAGGCATATGGGCCATAGGTGGTTTAGGTAACACTACTCTTGCAAGAGCTTTCTATGAGAGAACGTATAAAGATTTTGAAGTTCATTGCTTTCTTCTTAATGTTAGAGAGGTATATGAAGCAGAAGGTTTGATTCCCTTGCAAAAAAAAAAAAAAAAAACTTCTTTGTTCTTTGTATAAAAGAAGCATGGATGTGGATGACTATTATGAAGGAAGGAAGTTGATAAAAAGCATGTTAAGCAATAGGAAAATTCTTCTTGTCCTTGATGATGTGAGTGATATAAGCCAACTTGAAAATTTGGCTGGAAATCAATGTTGGTTTGGCAAAGGGACCTTAATAATAATAACAACTAGAGACAAGCATTTGTTATTATCACATGGTGTATCTACTTGTTATGACATCAAATTCTTGACTAATGATGAATCTCTTGAACTTTTCCATCAAAATGCTTTTAAAGGAAGTAAGCCAAGTAAAGCTTTGTTGGAGCTTTCTAGAACTGTGATTCAATATACTAGTGGCCTTCCTTTGGCACTCAAAGTGTTGGTTTCTTCTTTTTTTTTTTTTTGTGTGGAAGAACTGTAGAGAAATGGAAGGATGCGCTTCCTAAGTTGAAGAAGGTTCCTCCAAATAACATTTTGAAGATACTTAAGGTGAGTTTTGATGAATTAGATCATAGGGAAAAGACTATATTCTTGGATATTGCTTGCTTTTTCAATGGGATGGCCAAAGGCCCTCTCATACAAATTTTAGAAATTTTGGATGAGGATCTTCACCCAACAATTGGAATAGATGTTCTTATTGACAAATCACTAGTAATCAATTCAGAAGGGTATTTGTGGGTGCACCATATACTTCGAGATATGGGTAAATATATAGTCTCTCAAGCATCATCACCTAATGATGCTGGCAAGCATTCTAGGATATTGTCTTTGAAGGATGCCAATGATGTATTAGAAGGAAATAAGGTGATAGCCCTAAGTTTCGTGACTATTCAAGCATTCTTTATTTAATATTTTATTCCATCAATTGTGTACATTATTAACTTGATTGACTTATTATTTATAGGGGACAGGAGCAATTCGGGCTATAGCCATAATAGTAGAAGAAACATTTAATGCACTTTCGAATCCTGACGCCTTCTCAAGGATGATCAATCTCAAATTACTTGTCATTTCAAGCCGCTCACATATTTCTCATTGTCAATTGAATCTCTCACGTGGAATTAAGTCCCTTCCCAATGGCCTGAAAGTCTTAGCATGGGATGGGTATCCTTTGGATTCTTTGCCCAATCAAACAAAACTGCATGAACTTCTTGTTCTAAAAATGAAACATAGCAAGTTAAAAGAACTTTGGAGGGGAGCACGGGTAATTATGATCCTTTCATTTAAATTGTTTGTCCTTAATTTAACAAATTTATTATTATAAGTAGTTTGTCATTTGTTAGGACTTATTATTTTCTTTTTTTTTCATTTTAGTCTCCGCCAACGTTGAAGTCCATTGATTTATCTTATTCAAAATTCCTCATCAAAACTCCAGATTTTTATAAAATTCCTAATCTTGAGATAGTGATTCTAGAAGGGTGTTCTACATTGGTTGAAGTTCACCAGTCTCTTGGGCAATATAATAATCTTGTTATTGTTAATTTGAAAGGCTGCAAAAAAGTTAGAACCCTTCCAAGAAAATTTGAGATGGATTGCTTAAAGATTTTTTTTCTATCTGGTTGTTCAAAAATTAGAAAACTTCCTGAGTTTGAAAAGGATATGAAATGTCTCTCTACACTAGATTTAGAGAACACTGCTATATCCAAACTACCTGAATCATTGGGCAATTTGATTGGTCTTGTTGAATTAAATTTGACGGGTTGCACAAATCTTGTTTTCCCTCCAAATAATGTTCATAAATTCATAGCCAGGAAGATTTTCAAAATTTCTGGTTGGTCTAACCTTTCAAGGATGCCAGAGGATTTGAATGAAAATGGGACTTTGGAAGTGCCTGATGTGGGTCGAATTTCACCATCATCATGGAGTTGTGTGTCCCTGCTCAGGAAGTCATTTGGGCTTCAAAGGCCTTTAAGCTCAACAAATTTTATGGTACCCATTTCTTTATCATTCTTGAGCCAATTAAAATTAGGTTATTGCAAACTTCATGATGGATCACTTCTGTAACGACCTTAAAATTTAAAAAAAAATAATTAATTGATATTTTATTTAAATTATTTATATATCAAGTGGAGAGTGGTAATTTAATAGAATTTATATTAGTAACTTTCTTGAAGGTTCAAAGTTTGAAATTTATTAAGCAAAAGTTTGATTTTATTTTGTTTTAAATTATAAAAAAATTGTGTCATTTCTTGTAATTTTTGGTTGTGCCCTATCTTGCAATTTGCCCAATAATCTTTTTGAATCAGATTTTCTTCTCTGCCATTCGAACCTCATAGAACATACGAGAGTCAGATTTTTTTTCCGCGTCCGTTCTTCAGCTTTTCCTCTCTTCTCCATCATGTTCCTTCTCTGGACCTCATCACTGGCGATTTCATGGCTGCCTAACGGTGGCACGAGTACTCCGTTCTCCTCCGTAACAGCTTTGCAAAACCTCCACTTCCTTCTCTGTTTGACGCGCTCGACAACTCGGAGGAGGCTAGGATTTGCCTCTTCTTCTTCGTGTCTGCATCTGAGAGTAGCCGAGATGCTGCGTCATCATTAGTGGCTTTACTCGCTGCTGCACCTTTGTTCGCAGCTGTGTCGGCCATTCTTGCTCTGTCTCTTTCTCTCTTCAAATCTGGCATGGTGTTTGTGGGTGATTAGAGAGTTTGGGTGTCTTGAACGTTGCTCCCTCCATCTTCCTCCAGCTGCCAGCGTGATTAGGAAGCAAGTATTTGCTTCTTTTTCTTCTATTTTTGGTGGTCCGTGATATTGCGCCAAGGGGTTTGGGTCCCCTATTTTATGATATGCTGATGAAGATGGAGACTAAAATTTTATTTAATTATTCCAGCTGATTAAATTTTTTTAAAAAAAATTGAGTTGCTATGGTTTGGAGCAGTGAGGGAAGAAACCTATTGAGTATGTATAATATCTATTTGAACTTCTAGTTGAGGTTGCTAACTTTAGTTGTTGCTAAATGTGATTTCAGTGTTTGATTGGGATTATATAGTGTTTATGATGATGCTTGAGTAATGTTGGAAGTTGACCAGATCTGTTGCTTGTTTGTTGTAAATTGACCTTGATGCATTGATGGTGTTTGTTGAAGCATTGAAAAAAAAAAAAAAGGATTAAAGGAACTTATGTCTTGTAGCACCTTATGATCTTTTAAGAAAATATGAGTTTAACTTGGATTATTGTATTTTATGTTAAAGGAAACTATAGAGGCTATAATTATTGTTTGAGATTTCTTTTCTATGCTAGAGTGATGAGTTATTTCAACTTGCTAATTTGACCTGGTTGATGCATGACTGAATAACTACTATGCTTTTAGAATCAAGATTCTTTTATATTCTACAAAACTAATTGAGAATTACATAGCCAGTGTATTATTGAAGTTATTATTATTGGATTTAAAGAGTTTGGAAGAGGTCATTGTTTGAGACAGTGAATTAAGAGCAAATAAGGCTTTGGGAAATCTTATGGATATTCAAATAAAGCATAAATAGAGAGTTGTGGCATGGAAAGTTTAGTATTATTAGCTTGTTGGTTTGTTTGGTTAGGTAAATCAGTGGCACTATCAAAGTATAAATGAGAAGCTTAAAAAGGAACGAGCTATAGAGATACTGAGAAAGGTGAGTGAGTAGTGTCTCAAATAATTTTTTTTTAAAGTGGTTATAAGACTTCTTTATTTAAATTTTTACGTTATTCCTTTATAAGTTGTATAAATATTCTTGTCAATTCTAATTTTATGATTCATACAATCCTCTTTACTTACCTTACTTTTTTTATTGATTGATTTATTATGGAATATGCTTTATATTGTTAAGGAATATTTGGATCCGGTATATTCTAAACATTTCTGTTGTTTAAATTTTATTCTTTATGTTGCAGTTATTAATACGTGATTTGTGCATGGAGAAAATTGAAAAGAAAAGTCGATAGTTGAATGTTATATTTTGGAAAGAATAGCTTTGAATGAGTGTTTCAACTCCATGCACGCTCAATTTAATTAGGGGGACTGAGTTCAGAATGCTGGATGCTAATGGCAGTTCCGTTGGCCCTTAGTACGCCATGGTACACCCAGATAGTAGGGTGCTTAGGAGGTACTAGCCCCGTGTGACGGCTAACGCACGTGGAATGGAGGGATGGTTATTCGTGAGCATAGTACTCATGCTTGTTTTCGTAGACTTTATGCTCGCACTTGTTTTCGTGGATTCAAGCCACGCTTGTCAGTTATTTACCCTCGTGAACTGTGTGTCCACGCTTGTTGGTTACTTACCTTCATGGACTTTGTGTCCACGCTTGTTAATCGTTCTGATAAAGTCCCGTTAAAAAGTACATTTTTTTGGGAAACTTATTATTTTTAAATTTTGTCTATTAAACAAACTTTTGTTTGATCATATATGATTTTATATAGTTAGCTTTGCTCATAGACTAGCTAGGTTACCTCATTTTACAGAGGGGTCTTTTTGTATCTTTGATCATCTACCACCTTGGTTAGCTGAAGGGGATAGATGACGATTGATTTCTTGTCTCTCTTTTTGTAGTTTTATTTGTACTGGTTGGTTTTATTTCTCTTGGAATGCATTTCAGTTTTATCCCAAAAAAAAAAAATGGAAGGGGGAGTTGCTGGGATGCCCCGTTAAAAAGATTTAAAATATCGTATAAGTGTGATGTCTGAATAAGTCGACAAAAGTTCCAAGTCTCAATATTTTATTAACATGTTTAGTCTTTCTTTGTTCTTTGGTGCAAACATTTTTATATTAAAATGTCATATAAAGACATTTTACCAAAAAAATATTATGTAGAGTAAGACACAGCTGGATGGCAACTGACTTCGACGACTTGGGACCGAATCTTACGCCTTGGAGCTTCACATAGAAGGAAACACACAGCACTCATAGATTTTGCATATACAAGAGACTGAAGACTGAACAGCAGGCCTGGCCTCAACATTATTATTTCATCCTGCTGGTTCCTATTTTCTCCTTAGCTCTCTGTTTTTGGTTTTTTTAGATCTATTCATTGAACTCATTATTTTTATGTTTAGATCTGTCAAATCATCTATTCGCACCTCGTTGAAGTTTCTCTTGTTTAGTTTTCTAATTCGCAGGTCAATTTTGATTCCATTCTGTTTTGCCTTCGGAACTGTGTGAGGACGTATCTGGCTAGAATTGTTTATTGAGATTTATTTTTGTTTACGAAATTAAATTTAAAAGTTAAAACACATATATTGACAATTTAAGTTTTATAGGATTAATTTTTGTTGTAAATTTCATTTTAGCATGTTAATATAAATAATTAAATGACAATTGAGTTTATTAAAAATGAATAAATTACTAATGAAAGTTTAGATTATCAATATATTTTTATACGTGTTGGTCAAAAAATTATATTTTTTATACGTCATTGAGTATATATAATTTGTATAGAAAAAGATTCAGATAAATCTACTTCACATCGTAATAGTACAAAAATAAATCAATATGTTTTTTAGATAACAAAACTCTAAAAAAATATTAAGTCTAACATAGGTAAATTAAACATAACTTATTTTTTTAATAAGCATAATCAGTTAATATTATATATACATTAATGAAAAAATAAATTTATATTCATGCAATAGCTCAATTTTATAATTATATCTTCTGATCTTCATAAGAATGTTCTTATACAATGTAGCCAAAAAAGAAAAAAGTCAACAAATATAACTACAAGTATTATCATTTTTACCGATCAACTGTTAATACTACTTTTAACTAAAAAGAAAAATATTTCTTTTTTTTTTTTTTTGCAATAACTTGATAAAATATATGTATTTATATCTTTTTTTCTTTGTTAGCACACACGCGCACATATGATAGTGTAAACGAAAATGATGTGCACATCCAAACACCACCCCTTGCAAAACGCGGAAAATTGGAATGAATGATTCAAGGTACTGGTAGGCAACATAATTTATTTAATTTTTAAAATTTTTATTTGTTTATGGATATCTCATGCTTCTTTTATTATATAGTATCAGCAACATTAACATCATTATATTCGCAGTCCAATTACATCTTACATTATATATATATATATATATTTTAAAAAACATCTCATAGAAAAAAAAATGGTTGAAGGCATAAGATCCAAGCCCATGGACATTTGTTACGCAGTTCGAAAAATTGTATTATTAAATATTAATCTATACAATTTCACATAATTTTGATTCGATCTTTATAATTTAAAATTCATATAATTTTATATTCAATCTTTGTTATTATGTTTTGTCAATGTATTGCTACATGCGTGAAAAATATTTATGTATACTTATAAAAACCAACAAATCCTCATGAAACTTTATCAACAGGTACCTATTTAAAAAAATTGTAAATGATGAATGTACAAACTTAAAACTTTTAAATCCATTCATTTGATTTGTCACATATATAAGCTAGCCATAATTATGTTGCTGTGATAATATTTGTAGCTTGGAAGTTACTCCCACCATTTAAAAATGTAAGGCATTTTTTAAGGAGTTAGATGTTCAAAAATGTAAGACATTTTTAGTCTTTTGAGGTGTAAACATTGCCTTTTTTTTTTTAAAGTACCTCTATTAATAATGACTTTATATTTATTATAGGGTGTTTAATAAGAGTAAAGATGTAAAGATATTGTTAGTTTGAAAGTAAATAACTACTTTATTGGAGGGTAAAATTTAATTAAAAATGCCTTATATTTTTTAACAGAGGAGTATTTATACTTTTCTTTAAGTCATAAGTATGCCTCATTCTGCTGGCGGAGGCTCTTAATTCCCGAACGTTTATCAGACTTTTTCCCAAGAGAGGATGTGAAGTTTCTTGGTCTCATAACAAGAAGGCACTACTATACTTATCATTTAAGACTTTTTTGGACAGGAGCTTCGTCCCTAAAAGTTTATTTTATTCTTAAATTTAAGAGGTGTCATAATATTTTTGAATAATTAAATAATTTTATTCTTATCTTAAAAAAAAGGGTAGATATATTAATTATGTGCTTTACCCACCACCATCATGATATTAATTAGCATTATTGGGGTCAAAATTAGAAAATTATTATAATTTAATGTGATTTCAACTAAAAGAAACTTTTATTAAAATGGAGGATTCAATTGAAAATATCTTATATATAGAAATAGAAATAGAAATGTAGTAGCTAGGCATGGCAGTAACCATATACATGCACGTGACCTTGAATTTCCTTAAAACCTTAAACTAAACAATAAAAATATAAAAGGAGTTGCTGGGATGCCCCGTTAAAAAAAGATTTAAAATAACGTATTAGTGTGAGGTCTGAATAATTGGACAAAAAAGTTCCGAGTCTCGAGATTTTAATAAAATATTTAATCTTTCTTTGTTCTTCGGTGCCAACATTTTGATAATAAAATGTCATATAAAGACATTTACCAACAAAATATTATATAGAGTAAGACACAGCTGGATGGCAATTCAGATTGGACTGACTTCGACGACTTGGACTGAATCTTACGCCTTGGATTTTTATATAGAAACACACGCACACCAGCTCATAGATTTTGCATATACCAGAGATTGAAGACTAAACACAAGACTTGTCCTCAACATTCTTTGTTTCATCCTTCAGGTTCCTATTTCCTACTTTGCACTCTATTTTTTAAGATC